AAATGGCACCGAAATCTAGAACCATAAAAGGTTCTAGCTCTTCGCTAACACCTTTTATGGTTCACTATAAAATCTTTTTTTTAAACAAGAGTTGAACACAATATGGTCTGTTTTGACTTTTCCACTGATTATTTAGTATAAATAACTGTCGAAGTACTTTATTTACTGATCTTATAATTTATTAAAAAGTGTTTTTATATAATAACTGATCAACTGATTAGTTTACTGATCATTCATTCAATCAACTGATTTTCGAATTTTTTATTTTGCTGATCGATTAAGTCCTAGCCTTTTAAAAATAGGTTATGTTGTTAGAATAAGGCATTTGAACAAATAATTTCTTCGACATAAATCAAGTTTCAGATTTCCTATCATTTTCTAACTATCATATATTAATTTCAAACTGACAAATCTCCTATCGATAGTACTTTAAAAAGTATGATCGATAAAATAATGGAACTTATTGCTTTGTTTAAATCTCCTTTTATATTATCAACATTGAAAAACTATTGTATGAAATCTGCCACAGAACAAAATCTTATTTTGTATTAATATGCATCAAGGTTACTTTTTATTTACATCAATACAAATGTTTTTGTTTTTAAGACAATGCAGAAGTAAAAAATATTATGGCATTATTACGTTTCATTTTAATAACATTCAAAAATAAATGTGTATTTTTATTCTATTCAAACATTTACTTATTAATACAAATTTAATAATTGTGATGTTTTTATGTTGTTGACAAAGAAAACGTAGAGTTTTGATTTTATTTTCACTCCCAACTATCCGCGGAATGTTTTTATTTGAATATTTTTGACAAACTACTCTTTTACATTCGAACGATCAGTTTGTTGATATAAATATCTCAAGTAACGTTTATAAATTTTCAAGGAAAAATAATTGTTGAAATTTTTTTGTTTTTTTATTTATCAATCATTAAACATCAGTTATTTATCTTCCAATATAAAATTCATTTTTCTTTGTATAAATAGATTGAAATTTAACAGACTTCAAATCTCACGTTTATTTCTGTTTGCTCGTTAACATCATTTTACTGTCTACCTGAGAAAAAGATGAAATGGACGACGATTTAGCTTTCTGTCTCGGCCGATTTACTGACCATCAAGTTCAACTCATCGATGATCGTATTGCAAAAATTAAAGAAGAAGAAAATGAAGTATGTCGTGAAATTGAAGAACGACAAGCTGCCCATATCAAAAATCGACCTCCACAAAGAGATAAAGGCTCACATGCTAAAGATAAAGCTCTTGTTGATAAATTCGTTAGTGATCTTCGTCAATGTAGTGCAGAACCAAGGAAAATAAGAGCAGTTACTGATGATCAAACTTGTATAGATTCATTACGTGCAGAACTCTGGACAAAAGTAGCAGCATCTACAACTTATATCAATCGATTACATAATTTAGCTAGACCATTATCAAATACAGCAAAATTCGTAGAAACATGCCGTGAAACAGTTGAATCTTTTAAACGACCAAGTGATTTTGATGCTAATTATAAAGTATTATATAAGATTATAGAACAAGATGAAAAAGATCAGGTTATTGGTAGTATTCAAAAATGGTGGAAAGAAAAATATGGAGATAAAGTAGCTGAGATTAATCAACGGAATCAAAAATTTAATGGAGCTGTTACTGAACCTAATTTTGCTATTCTATCACCAAATAGTGGAGTAATTCGAAATGCAAAAAAACTTATCGAAGCTAGACAGGAAACAATTGTTGAACCTGAATATTTTGAAGTTGTTCGTGAGTTTGTTCGACAACTTTTATTACTCGATGAAGAAAAACGGGAACATACTGATGCTAATGAACTTAGTAATGAATTAAATAGTAGAACTATTGAAGAAACTATTGATTATGCAGAAAGATGGTTGTCAGAACGTGATGAAATTCGTAATCGAAAAGAAGAAGATCCATGTATGTTGATTATTCTTAATATATTTCTCTTTTTCTATGAAAAAAATTCTTTTATCTTGTTTAGATAAAATTGAACTAGAAGAAGCTAAAGCAAAATATGGTCGACAGCGCATGGCTCGTAGAGCACAAAAATTTGCTGTAGCAGCATTTATCCGTCAATTGGCCGCTGGTTCAAAAAATGATGAACAATTTCAGGAACAATTGGACAATATTGTTAAACAAGAAAGGAAAATCAATGAAGAAACGGAAACCAAAGAAGAAGGAAAAAACAATGAAGAAAGGAAACCCGAAGAAGAAAGGAAAACCAATGCAGAAAGCCTACCTGTAATTCCTTGTGACATCGGTGATCCAAATGGTAAATAAAAGATATGTGACTATGAGAGAAAAAATTTTCAGAAGATAATATATATCTACTTATCATATGTATTTCCGAATGCGAATATATATTATTTTTAGACTTTTTTAAAAATTAGTTGGTTTGTTTTCCTTTTAAGTTGATTATAATAATTGAGATTTATTTTTTTATATATTTTAGAGGAAGAACTACCCGTAACGTTCGAACTCAAAGCGGATGCGGCTTTTATGAATCAATTTAAAAATAATTCAAATGAAGTTCAAGAACGATTCATTAAAAGTCTATGCCAAGCGTTCTCTATACCGAGTGGAGAAATTCGTATTAAGAATATTGATTGTGATAAAGCTATTATATGTATATTGATTTCAAAACCTCATGGTACAGTTGTTGTTAAGATTTTAATTGGTGGTGTTGAAGATGCTGTTGCTCGAAAGGAAGCAGTGTGTAAATGTTTTAGTGATATTAATGCAAATGTTGACTCAATTATACTTGGTGAAGTTGCATTGGAAGTTGAAGGTAGACGAATGGATCCGAGATGGAATAAAAATTATGTTTCGTCATCTAATGATCCTACAGGACAGTACTGGGCAAATTCAATCAATCAAGGTGGTAAACCTTATTTTTGCCCTTCAGGTTAGTACAGTAATCTTAACTTATTAATCTATTTGCTATTTTTGATGCTTAGGTTGGAAACGTTATGGTATTAAAGTAGACACAGGTGGAAAAGAATTTGATGCTAAGTGGGGTACTTGGAATATGGCATACCATGGAACAAGAAGCGAAGTTGCAACAAATATTCTTATGTCTGGTCTTAAAGTTGGTACGCACGGATGTCATTATGACGATGGGGTACGACGAGTGTATGTCTCACCTAGTATTGAATATTGTGCTCATCAAATATATGCTTGCCCATGGGAAAAAACGACAAAAAACGGTGAAAACTTATGGTATCAGTTAGTGTTTCAATGTCGAGTTAATCCAAAATCGATTGCCAGTATCAAACCCGAAACAATTCTAGGTCCTGATTATAAAAAAGAAGTAATAGATCCAAATTTCAAAAATAGCGAGCTAGAATGGATTATATTAGACCGAGCTGATCAGGAATTTATTGCAGATGATATCATTTGTTATGGCATGATGATGCGTACATCAAAGGACCATCCAAAAACTTTGACACCATCTAAATGGTGGGAACACACGGATCCCGCATGTTACTCCACATCTACATAACATTTTTGTCGAAAAGCATTTCGTTGACAGGACACTTCATCAACTAATCAATTCATCTGTAGTCTGAGGAAGTATAACTGATTTTAACAGAATTTGAGTGTGGGTGTAGAGGTGAACACAAGTAGTCCTTAAACACATATTCACATCCACGCCAATATTCAAAGAGAAAAAAACGGATCGGAAATTCTAAGGATGATGCTATGGATTTCAATGAATCCTCATAGACCCTTAGGATGCTAGAATTGATCCTGATGAACTCTGATGAATCCTACGTGATCCTAACAGATTTTCTACGACCTTATAAGTCCTAGGATCCAGGATTCCATCGTCCACATCCACAGCCTAACTTTGTTAAAATAATCTATTCTTCCTCTGATTACGAATGAATTGATGTGTCGACGAAATGCGTAGTTATCAACAAAACTTATCTTAGTCGTACTATACTAACATGAAAAATAATAATTCATAGAATACATATAATCAATATATTTTACGAATTATATACGTTTCTTTTCTTAGTTTTTGTTTTTAGTTATTTGTAATTTTTTTATTTGTGAAAATAAACAAAGAACAAACTGTACGCAGTTGTATTTAAGATTCATTTTTGTATAATGTCATTGTTAGAGTATGTTTAAGACAGAAAATCAAATATATAAGTATGATTAAAATATGGTTATGAAATGTTCTTCTCTTTTCTAACAGATATCGAGTAACTAGCTTCTGAGAGAGTTTTCAAATGTGTTTCTTAATCGAATTCATTAGCATCTCATCAATAAATCATTGCTTTATAGATAACAAATAAAATATACTTCAATTACTGAACTATTTCTCAAACATTCAGAAGAATCAAAATTAATGAAAAGAATAGAAAAAAAACGATTGATGATAGGATGATAGAGTCTATCAGATTCAGTTCAAAATAAACTAAATTTAGTTCAGAGTCAAATTTGAACATAACTTGTATATATATATGAATAAAGAGGACGTTTGCAATAGTTATCCAGTGAAAATAAAGGATACGATTCAGATGCACACTCAACCTGTTTTTATTTGATGGATTGTATCGTATATCATTTTTCTTTTTAATGAAACCAACTGTTCTGAGCAGTATTGTTCACTCTGTATCCTTTACTAAAACAGTCACTTATTTCAGTTTAATATATTCTTGATTATCAAAATCAAAAACAGAATTATGCTTCATATTCATATCTATGACGTTAGTTTTTCTCAATTTTAACTTCACTTGTAATGATCTTAAATCACTTTCTATTTCAAGCAGTAAACATGATACATAAGGTCTAAGGTGTTATGAGCATATTGTAAATTGAAACAGAAGAATAATTAGTTCGATAAGATTGATTTTATTTTAGTCTTTAATAGATATATAAAACTTATATCAAATAAATCACCGAAAAAACACATTCTTTCATTATATTTTGTCATCGAGTTTAAATAAAATAGAAAAATCAAAATCAATTATCTTTGGTATTGTCTAGTTCATCTTCATGTATGAGCTTGTTGAATTCATCATTTTTCCATTTGTCTGTTGAAACAAACCAAATATTTTCAAAAGCAAAACGAACAGGTCCTTCTGAATTCATTATTTTCATGTTGAGTACTTCATGAAAAACTTTAGCTATATCGTCGACTTCGTTTCTGAATGCACCAGTACCAATAGGACCAAGTAAGAGATATGTATTCTTACCATCACCTATAGTATTTGCAACAGCTGCTGCCATAAATGCCCGAAATTTAGATAAAGTATTCTGTTTCAACTAGAATAGAATTCATATTTATCATTAAGAAAAGTAAAAAGATTGAAAAATATTTTTCTAATTACCTCCCCATCAGTTTTTGGATTATCATACAGCTGATCATAACCCACACAATAACATGCAGAAACTAACATATCAGCTTTGCGATGTTTTTGTTCATCGCTTGCATCGAAAAAGCATATATCGCGAACATAAGCTAGTCCAAATTCTGGTATAGCATAACCATCCTGCATTCGTCCATATTTAAGATCAAGTAATGATCGATAACCATCAGAATTATAAAGAATGACTTCTTCTTGTGCCCCTAAACAAAGTAATCAAATGTATAAAACTAATAGACTATTGTCTATTGATATATATATATAAGAGTCGATTAGTATATATTACTGCTGAAATACATTTCTTTTTCTACTGAGTACAGTCGTACGTTATTTTTAGTTTTAATTCAGATAAACATTACTTACTGGCACCTCTTAAATAGCCACCTCCTGGTGATTGTTCATTCTATAGAATTCATATATAGTCGATTAGAAATGATTTATAAAAACAATTTACCGCAAAATTTAAAAGAATAATTTGAGCTTGTTCAGGTACATAAAAAACTGCACGTTCAATTCCTTTATTAACATATTTAATTGCACCACGATGCTTTCGAGTCGAAACAGGAAATTCACGAAGATTTTTGATTGCATCAATATCTGACGGATCATGTGGCGGTTCTACACTTTCTTGTACTCCTTCCTTTGGACAAAGATTTTCCAATTGTTCTATATTCCAATAGACTTTGAGTTCTTCAGGTTTGAAGCCATCCTTGCGAGATTTACTCATATAGTTACGAGATCGTTTTAAAAGAAGATGTTGCTAAATATAGAGACTATATATTTATTTATTTTGTAAAAGATAGTGTTCAAAAATAATTTCTATTATTTGATATGAATGTATGTAGGAATAAATAATATATATTACGCGTGTCTAAGAGATAATTCTATGTCAACTATCGTAAATAAATTCAGTTTTGAGTTTAGAAAAAATCTAAGGTATCATTCTTCCCCTGAAAAAAGGCGATGCTGTATTGAATTCACTTTAGATTTACTAGGTATGTATATCTAAAGCAAATTAATAACTACTCGTCATTTTTTTATCAGTAAAAGAGAAAATTTGCATGTATAAATATAATACAAATTATGAAAAACTCACAGGATGTTCTTTTAATTCCCAATAACGTTCACGTTCATTGATTTTTTTTTCATAATGTTTTTCAAGATTCTTCCAATCTAATGGCTTGTTATTCCTATCCATAAGCCACTCACGAACTTGTCCTGCATGTTGAATGATATGATCATCAAATTTTTTTTCATTTGTACTTATATCGCTTTCAATTTTTTCCAATTTCTCCTTTATTGCAAGCAAGAAATTATAAAGAGTACGTTCACTATAATCTTCATTTAGAGAACGATATGAAGTTACAACTTTAATAACAGAATGAACAACTGATTTGGTGAGCGATTCGAAAGGTACATACATAGGAGATTCATCTCGCTTGGGTGGATATTCATAATGATTACTCATTTTCGTACTACAAACTCCCATACGATAATCATATAGAAATCATGAAGATTTGCTGAACAGCTGATACTTCCGAGCATTCTTCCATGTTGAAAGTCATAACGACACTTCGAAATTTACCGTGAAATAGATGACGCACCTTTGCAAACAGTTATTTCAATTATATAAGAACTCTTTTCTTCTTATAAAATATGTAATATTCATACATTGAACTATTTGTGAATCTTAAAAATGTTTTACATAATTCTATCTGAAATAAATAAACATTCCGAAATGACACATATTTTCTTGTGTTTATTAATTACAATTATACGCTACACATATATCAACATGATTTAAGTTATATTACTCGTTATTCTTTTATAAATATATCAATTTTTAATTTAGAATCACATATGTAATATTCATAGTACAGATTTTGAACTAATCGTTATAGATTCATGTTATTGTTTATCTTCTTTTAAACTCATAAGTGTACCCATGTTTAACATTGCACTTTTTTTTCTAGATCAAACGGAAATTGATTATTTTTTATCAAGGACATTATATTATTTTTTTAAAAACATTTTGCCGGACAGTTTTCTCTTTTATAGGAAATGATTTCGTTATTAATTGTGAGGTTTTATTTCCTGAAATGCAACACTTTAGATAAATTAAACATTTATTAAATTGTTTTTGAGCTTTTGCGAACATTTTTTTTTTAGTTTTGATGTTTTCTAATCGATTATATGAACAAGGAATAAAAATATTACGCAGAAGAACAAATGTATTCTATTGAAAAATATCTCTAAATGAGACTTTCATAAATGTTTCGAAAATAGAAATTATCATAGATATATAATTATAAACGAGACTTACACGTCTATGCTATTATGAATAAAATATTTTTTTTCAATTATGAAAAAAGCCTATTATTTAATATTTCAGGTCTTTCTGTATGACACTTTTTTTCTTTCCCCTTGATAGATTCTGACGATATTTTGAGTTTCGTTATAAGAGATTTTTTTACTATTAGAATAAGATAATATTTTCTTCTGAAGACCAATCCATTTAATAAGATTTTCTGGAAGAGAATTTTAATCAAAAAAAAAATAGTACGTAAAAAAAACGATCGGAAAGTAATTTCCATATTTTTTTTAATTTAAATTAAAGCTGACAACAATGACAGTCTTGCAAAATTAGAGTAGTGATGTATAAAATAAATGAAAAAATAACAGTATATAAACTAACAAGTTATATTGTTATTTGTTAAATAATAACGTCATTCTATTCTTTTTTTTAAAAAATACATTCACACAGTACTTTATTTTAATTTTATCTAGGAAATCATCATGCGATTGATTTTTCTAATGATACTGTTTCGTCTAGAACTTTTTGATAGTTCTTTTTCACCTGATACAAGTAATTATGATGCGTATGGTCTTAAAATAGCTGCTAATGATGTTATTTTCGTCGAAGCACAAGGTGATGAAGAAACATATCTTGTACAATTTGCTCCGTTTGATTATGCAATGGGTTCACTTCAATGTTCATTTGATTATGATGATTCAACACATTATGTTTATTCAGTTGGTGTAGGGCAAAAGCAAAATACAACAAAAAATAGTTATTTTTATTTTGCTGGTGAAGTTGTACCTGCAGGTTTTTCCAAAACAGATATGTCAGGTCACAATGGAACATTTATTGGTATTTGGATTAATACAGATCCACACGATATAACAGTATATACAGCAACACGACAACCATTACCATGTATTTTTTTTCAAGCACAAAAACTTCAATTTCTTAATTCATATGGTCATCAAGAATTTTTTGTTATTGCTGTTGAACCATATGGAACATATGCTATTGGATTAGCAACTAGTTTTGCATTTACCTATCGACCATTTCCTAGTGGTTCAATAACACCAAAAGCGGGTAGTAGTATTTGGCCAAATAATTCAACATTCAATCCATGTGCAGCTGATGCTAGTAATACGTATACAATTGTTGCAGGTTTCGTCGCAGGTGCAGCTGGATCTCGAGTACGTGCTACGCCTACCGTTTATTTAATATGGAACTCTAATCTTACTGTTTTATCAACATGGTCTTATAGTGCCACGAGTAATTCTTGGCAATCACGTTTAACATATTCAGGTGTTAGTTCATGGAGTAGTAAATTTACTATGTCCGTTAAAATAAATTCCGATGATCCAACTAGAGTACTTGTTGGTATGCCTTTCTTAAATACTGTCTTTTTATTTGTTGTTGATGGTACAACTCTTACATTGGCTAGTTATGTTGATCATGGACAATCGGTTGGTTTTGGTAAGGGTGTTACTTGGTTAACTAATTCACAAGCAGCAATACTTGTATCAACATATTCACTTGATTATACAACATGGTATTCTTCACAAATCTATGTCTATACATCATTGAATGATACGGATTTACCTTCATCACCATCAGCAATTATTCCAAATACTCAACAACCATTACCATCAACTATAAATTCGATATTACTTCGTATCGTTTCAACACCAGAATCTGTTGTTGTACTTGATGCTGCTGGAGGTGCTCTTATTATATTATCAGAAGCAGCTGGTTATTATGCATCAACGGATACTACAAATGCACCAGTTGCTGCTTCAATGCCTGTTGTTAGTCATTCGACAACATGTATTGGAGGTACATATAAATCAGATATTGGTATTCATCCTTGCAAATTATGTTCAAGTGGAACAAAAAATCTAGGTACTACAGCTGGTATATCATGTATGAATTGTTCATCCGATAGTTTTTGTCCATTGGGAGCAGTCTATGAAATTAATTCGACTTTACTTATTTCTCTTTCACAAGCATATTCATATCCTCGTTCACCTGAAATGACGAATTTCGAAGATGTTCTTTTGAACAATATGTTTTCAATGGGTTCAACAATGTCTTGTTTAATTGTTTCACCAATCTTTTGGTCATTAATACTTACATTTATCTTTATTCTTATACTTTTAATTATGGCTTCACTTGGTTGGTGTGTACAACCATCAAAACGTGATCGATATAGAGCTGCTATGAAAACTGTTTTTCAAAAAAACAGATCTTGTTGTATGTATTCTATGATTTGTATAAATATATTGAACATTAAATGTATATTTTAGGGTGAAGGTGAATTATGGGCTGGTGGAATTGCATCCATAGCTGTTGTTCTAATAACTATCATGGCTTATACATTTTCAATATCATATATGAATCAATATCCAGCGGAAAAAACACAGGGATCAAGATTTTCTTGTGATTCTACTCTTCGAAACGCTAAATTTGAATCAAGTCTTCAAGCATTAGCTGTTCCTGTACCTGATGATGAACAAACTATATTTGATCTATTAAATGACCAAAATTTTACTCTTCAATTCGATTTTATTAATACAGCAGCATCTTGTATGACATTTTCGATTTCAGAAGTTACGGATGTATCAACAACAGCTCTTCCAATATCATCATGTAATGATATAAATGGAACACTTCAAACAACAGTCAAATTACCTGAACATGCTATTGTACTTCAAGTAGTCATAAGTGATATTCAACTTATTGGTGGTCTACGAATAGGTCTTCTAGGTTCCGGTGTAGAAAAGGATACATTTACATTACAAGAACTCAATTTTCTACAAACATTTTATAGTCCATCGTCTGAAACTTTAGCACAAATTGTAACTATTGATATGGCATTAACTAAAGTTAGTTTCTTATTTCATTATAATTCTATATTATTCCTTGTTTTAATAGGTTATTAATGAAACAGATCCATTATTTGGTGATACTTCAGATTTTGCAGGTATATGGTATCCAACATTCACATATAGTCTATCTGAAATGTTCATATCTTCTGATTATTATTTAACATCTGCTAATCTTACATCAACTACAATAACAATTGATATAACAGAAACATCATATTATATTAAAAATATTCAATCACCAATTGCTAAAGAACCCGAAATTATATTTCGTACTCTTTTATTTGCATTTTTATGTCTTGAAATATGTGCAATGGCATTTCTTATTTGCAGACTACTTATTATGCCACTAATAAATAAGATTTATATGCGCTTTACTGGTCATCCTATTGTTCCATTTGAACCAGAACATGGCAAAGAATCTAATCATCAACATCATTAATATATTATTAACTAATAAACATAAACTATTCATATTTAACCAATTCTCTGTAATTTTTCACTTATCAATAAAAATCATACATATTTAAAATAAATAAAAATTGCCTTATTAAGTGTTTTCTTATACAGATGACTCATGACTCCATTTCTATAAATAACTATCGATGTGATAATCCAGACGAATACTAGTACATATAACCCGTTTCGATGAATCATCATTATCATCAGCTTTTCTATATTCATATTTTTCGAAGTTCAATTACTACAATCATCGATTATTAATCTGATTTAAGCTACATCAACTCTATGAATAATATAGTCACAAGGAAAGTATTATGTATTTTTTTATTTTATTTTCTAATACGCATATAAATTAATTTAACACATGACATTGATAATATCAAGTGAGTTTTTTTTTCTTCGTAATTTTCAAAAATTATAAGAACATAAAATATAA